TCGGACTTTTCACGCTGAAAAGGCAACTTCCCACGGATGGCCCACGATGCTGCACAAAACAAGGTATCAACAAATGAAACGTTTGTTCTAATGTAGCCTAGTGTGGTACAGTTTTTTTAAAGGATGTGTAAAGAATGGTTTTGAATTGTGCCATTTTTTTCAATAATTTGCTACAGTTTTGGTGGTTAAGAACATTTCTTTCCTGGTGTGTGTTGTTAGTGAACGTTTTTAATTAACCTACAAATATTATTGTCTCATTAAAAGTCGGTTGTGAACATTGACAGTATAATTAATAACGAATAATTGAAATAGTTGTTGTGGAGTTGGTTGTTGTTATTAACTTACACTGACTTTCAGCAGACACTTTTGTCATGGTATTCTGTTCAGTCCATGCTGTGGTGTTAAATGATGGAATTCACTTCACCCTGGTCTCAGGTGTTTGTTTGTGAACATGTCTTGGTCCTGCTCCTCACTCCCACTCATCCAGTTCTGGTCAGTCCCTTTCAGGGACCACGGCGTCCCCAGATAGCTAGAGCAACTGTGTTGACGTTGGTGTCTTGACGGCAGAGTCTGTATATTGTGTTTAGCCCGAACTCTGAAACTTCCTTCAGCAAGATTTGCACAATAGTGTCAGGAGGAGGAGGAAGCAGCGTTGAAGAAGAAAATGAAAATGCAGTTTGGATGATTGATTATTCGTGTAGTTTTTCAGTTAAAACGTGCAGGTGTATTCAGAAAATGAAACAGCATTCTGCTAATGCATTTTCATTTTCAAATTTGACATTTCAAAATTAATTTTGGTTCTTTATTGCTAGGGCAAATCTTGAAAAATAAATCTTAAGTCTTTTTTATTTTAATTAGTCACAGGATGAGCAGTCTTGAAGAAGAAAAATTAAAATGCAATTTTATCTATGAGTTAGAAAATGAAGGTATATTCTGAAAATGAAAAGACACTTCTTAAGTAATTTTAATGGTACCGGTTGTCTTCCACAGTCAGGAAGATGAAGAACTGTGAGTGAAAATGAGTTTGAGTAGAGATTGTAGACTGGTGTTTATTTCTTATTTCACCTCAGTCTTACAGCAGAGTGAGCTCTGTGATGAAAACATAAAAACCCTGTGGGAGAGATCACGTAAAGTCCACTTCTTCTCACTCTAGCTATTTAAAATAAAAATGAAAGAGAAGTCAGACATTCTCTTACACATGGCTGCACTGTTTAGTCTGCGGCTGGATTTGCAGGTTGCTGCACTATATTCACGCAGACTAGAACATGTTACAAATGAGGTGTGGACTCAGTCTTAAGCTGTAAGGTTTTGTTGAGCAGAGCTGCGCTGCCTGTTAGCTCCATGTCTGCCCCTGTTTCAGTGATGACTTGTGCTGCTAATTTGGGTTTGGTTGTCACTTGCCACAAAGCCTCGTAGACTCGTCGTCAAACCAACCTTCTGCCTCTTTGTGTCGACACGTCGTTTCTAAATGAAGGCTTTATATCCTGTGGAGGGAGGATTGACTCTCAGGGTGGCGTTTTAATTAGCAGCGCGGCCACTTTCCTGCTCAGTGGTCTGCTCCACTTCCAAAGCAAAAAATTATTTATAGATGCATTTTCCCTCCTACATTAGGACCCGTCCTCATTTATGTCTGGGTGACACCAGTGATGGGGGGGTAATTGGCGTGGTGCTAAAATGACCACAGAGGCCTGGGCTAATGGTGGGTTGGAGGGTCGTTTGATGCTGTGATGGTCGCCCCTTTTTAACACAATTAGAGGAAAGTGTGTGCTCAGTGTTTTCACGCTTGGCCTCTGAATTTAATGTCATCGGGGAGTTTCCATTTAGAGGCAGAGCCAGAGAGAACAGGAATCTGCATTTGTTCACTTTTGTAGAAAAGGATTTCTGTGAATAGTTTAGTGCTGAACCATTTGATGAAAATGTGCGGCTGTAATTATTGTGGACACTGTTGTGATCTGCCATTAGGATGTAAATAAACGATGTCACCACTTGATGGAATATCAAAAACAACACAGAGAATAACCATAGTTTGTATATTTCTCAAATCAAAATATTCAAATACGACACAAATACAAAACCTGAAGTTTACATAGTGTTTTTATTAATAACCATAATATCAAAAATAAATACGTCAGTTTAGGACAATTCTGTTGGCATTTTGGTAAACCTTCCACTTGATAAAAAATAATGGAGACAACTTGAAGGCCTTTGTACGATGAGAGACTACAAACTATTTATTCATGGTGGCAGCTGGACTATTTTAGAAAGAGAATATGGAAGAAAAACTTGATCATTTAAAAAAGAATGTATAATAATTATATTGCTTTTGTTGTGATTGACACATTTTTAGAGAAAGTCGTAGTAGAGCACAAATTAAAGCACATTTGAAATGTTAGTGAGGGCAACGTGACGTTCACCACGGAGCCCGTGCTGCCACACCGTGATACCGTGATGAAATACGGTGTTAGCAGGCAGTGGCTTTTAAGATCAAAGTCAAAATCAAACCTGACCGTAGCCAATTCAACTTAAACCTCACTAAAGTATCTGTTGTCCGATGATCATTAATTAAAAAATGAAGGAAAAACTGCCCTGGTTATTCATTCATGACTTGATCGATATTTCTCCACTTAGAGAAGTTTGTGTCACTTTAACACGTCACCATTTTCTGGCAGAAGCAGCAACAGAGTTTTCAAAGCATGGACTTGTATTGATTTTTACATGAGGAGTAAATAATTTCTCCCACGTCTCGTGTGGAGTCGGAGGTTTGATACAGAGTTGCTTTGCTCCCTGCAGCATCATTTACAGCAGCAGCAGC